CTGGCTTTGAACTCAGCGATCCTCCTGCCTCAGCCTCCTGAGAGCTGGGATTATAGTTGTGCATGACCAGGCCCAGCTTTAGTCTTGTTCTTTTGCAAAGGGACCAGTCAGAGCCTCCTCATCAGAGCTGGGCCCCGCAGGTCCTCAAGCTGTGGTCCCTTCCCTTGTCCTCTCTCCTTCCCCTTCTGTCTAATAAATCAGTTAGGGCCTCACACGACACCTCCTGGAAGGCTCTCTGTGAGGAGGGTCCACAAGCCTTCTTTGTGGGGGGCTGTAGGTTCCTATCTTGCTTTTCTCCCCCGAGTACTGAGTATTGAACCCAGGGCCTTTGGAACAGTGTCTCACCAAGTTGTGAAGTCACCCTGGCTAGGTGATCCTAACTTGTGATTCTCCTGCCTCAGCCGCTCAATGCTGAGATTACAGGTGTGCACCACCACACCCAGTCCCCTCTTCTCTTTGGGGGACCTTCTGGGGTCCTGTCCAGTGACATCCTGTGAAGCTTCAACCTGATGAAAATTGTCACCTGAGGGCCCCAGCCCACAGTGTGTGGTAACAAACAGCCTATTCTGATTGCACTGGGAGGCCCTGGGAATGGGAGAGAAGGGCCCACCGTCCAGTGACAGAGCCTCGAGTCCTCCAAGCCAGCCACCCTGTGACAGCGGTCACAACGGCTCTGCCTGCCTGGGCCGGCGGGAGCCAGGGTCTCTGGTGGGATCCGCAGCTCCTGGCATGGCGCCGTGGTGCCGAAGGCTGTCGGGTCTGGAGGGCTGGGGAGGGGCTGCAGGAGCCCTGAGCATCCAAACCTCCTGCAACTACGGCATCAGAATTCACTGCACCCCTGCAGCCTGGGCTCCCGTGGAAGGCCAGAGCTTCCCCTGGCACCTGTGGTGGGCACCGCTGCTTTCCCGACGTGGGACTTCCTGTCCACACCCGGCACACCTTCTCTGAGCCAGGCATCCGCCGTGGCTGAGGTAATATTTGTGGTCAGGAGGAAAACAAATTTTTCCAAACCTCTTAATTTGAGCCCTGAGTCCCAGCAGGTTCTGCTTGGAGCCCCAGGCTATGTTTCAACCTCTCTCAACCCTTGGGTCTCCACTGTGGATGGGGGTAGTAAGAGCTAGTCATGGTGGTGAAGGCCTGTAATCCTAGCACTCTGGGAGGCTGAGGCATGAGGATTTCAAGTTCAAGCTTAGTTTGGGCAATTTGGTGGTTCAGCGAGATCCTGTTTCTTTTTTTCGTTTTGTCTTGGTTTTTCAATACAAGGCCTTATTACGTAGTCTAGGCTGGCATTGAATTCATTAACTATTCCACACTGGTCTCAAACTCATGGCGATCCTCCCACCTCAGCCTCCCAAGTGCAAGTTCTGGGTTCACAGGCCTGTACCACATTTGGCTGAGGTCCTATCTTAAAAAAAGAGCAAGGATGTAGCTCAGTGCAAAGGCCCTAGGTTCAATCCGCATACTGGGGGTGGGCGAAGACTGAGGATGCCAGGATAAGAGACTGACATGGTCATTTAGCCACACCAGCAAGTCTCCACTGGCCTAAAGCTAGGGTCACGTTGGGTTCCAGCTGTGCCTCAAGTGATTAAGATCCCCCAAGCGGGGGGCCATCATCTCTTGGGAACTGAAACGCTCAGGTTAGGTTTCTTCCAGAGCTAGGAAATCAGGACTGAGGTAGTGATCAACCAGGCCCCAGGCCACCAGAGCACCCCATGAAACTGGGATCTTCCCATTAACCTCGGCCCTTTTCTCCGGGAACGGGGGCCAGCCTGACCCCTCTTCAGGCCTGTGCCCCTAGTGTTTCTTAAAGCAAAGCCCCTTTTCTGTCTTACTTTCCTTTTTTAGGGCTCCAGTTTCATCTTTGTCACAGATGTATGCGTCTCTTCATTTTCTTACTTTCCATTCAAAGCTTTTCCTATAAATTTACAAACACCTCAGTTCTGATTTCCATTATAACTGAAGCCAGGACCCACACAGGCCAGTGACAGCCTGACAGCCTTGGGAGCTGTGGCAGGAAACTTTCTGGAAATGTTACATCTGTAATGGCCCTGCTCCTGCCAACAGTTTCATATACCACTTGGCTCCTGGTGGCCAAAGCACAATTAATGTGCTCCACCCTGTTTCGGCCTTCTGTGGCTCTTACCCTGGCTTCTGTTCCCACTTGTGAGTATTCTGAGACTGACACGGTTTGGGTGGCCCCAGCCTGCAGTGCTCCTTGGTGTCAGGGCTGCAAAGAGGCTCCTCTGGAGCGGGAACATTTCTCCTAGAAAGCTCTGGGAGGGCGGAGAGCGCTGGAGAGCAAGTTGGGAACCCGAGGGTTCTGGGGTCAGGACCCAGATCTGTTGGGCCTGGAGGACTGCTGTAGAGGTTAGAACTTGGGGTGCACAGTGAAGGAGGTGGCCAAGGACTGGAGGGGAAGGCCTGGTCTGAATTTGGATTTTGATTCAAGGCAACTAGAAGTGGATTGCAAGTCTCCAACCAGGAGAGGCAGGTCAGAGTGGATCTTTATTTTTTATTTTTTTGGTACCAGGGATCAAACTTAGGACCTTGCGTTTACAAGGCAGACTCAGTGCCACTGAGCTACATCCCTGGCAGAGCTGGATCTTCAGACATCCTCCCGCCGGGTCAGGTTTGGAAAGGCCAGGATGGACGTGGGGCTTGGGGAAGGAACGGAGAAGCCTGAATAGCATCTGAGTGGTGTGGGTCTCTGGTGGGTTCTGTTTCTGGTCCAGGCAGCCAGGTGTGGAGGTGGAGATGCTGTGTCCTTCACCAGTGCTGGCTTCCTCACCCTTCTGAGGTCCCCTACCTCATACTCTGGGGCACCTGGCCCAGGGGATCACAGATCCACACAGAGCTGTCTCTCTGTCCTTGGGGGTGGGGGAGACTCCAGACCACTACCAGTCTTGCTGCTTCTGTAGTTAGGACAGCTGCACACAGGATCTCTCCCTTTCAAATGCTCATCCCTTTGTTTGCACAGTTTCCTGGCATTGCCACTTTTCACTGGAAATAAAAGACCGTGGGTTATTCTCCTCACGGGCCAGGACTGGAGCTCGGGGGAGCACAGTCTAGATACTGCCAAGACCCTAAGCCGTACATGAGTAACTGGAGCGGCGCAGTGAGTGAGTTTAGGAGGCCTGGCTCCCGGGCTTCCTCATGGCCCTGTGCTCCCCTCTCGAGTGTCCTTTCCCAGAAGAGGAGGGCAGCGTGGGCCCCAGAAGAGAGACGTCTTCGAAATCATTTGTCAACTGCAAGTGACTGTTGTTAATATTGTGAAAGTAAAGAGGAAAATTGCAATGAAGGCAAACTTTTTTTCTGTACTGGGGATTGAACCCAGAGCTTTTTCACTGGGCTCCATCCAGAGGCCTTTTATTTTATTTTTTGATACAGGGTCTCACTAAGTGGCTAATTTGGCCCTGCTGGCTCAAGCTTTCGATCCTCTGATCCTGTCTGAGCTTCTAGGATGCTGCCGTTACAGAACTGCGACAAGCCCGCTGAAGGGAATCTTGAAAGACCTTCCAAGATGGAGCCAGAGGCCATTTGGAAGCAGGATCCCTGCGAGATAGAGGCTGGAACGCGAGCTCTGGTCACCCTCACCCTTTGACCTCGGGCATCTGGAGCAACCTAAGACAGGGACAATCGCACTGTGCCAGACAGAGGCTGGCGGCGTCGCGTTGCACCGCTTTCTGTTTACACATGCCTGTCTTTAGCTTCCGCCCTCCAGGTAGCCCCACGTCCTTCTCCACCCTGCAGCGCCCACCTTTCCCGCCTTCCCCAGAGCCTGGCCCCCGGACTGCAATTCCTCGACCCCTGGCAGAGTTTGGCTTCTGCAGATTGAGTCTGCGCTTGGCCCCAGGGGCGCATGGCGCGGACCGCGCGACCCCCTGGACTCTGCATTGGCGTCTGTCCCTTCGGGTCCATGCCGATGCCAGGGACAACAGAGAGCGCCGCATGCTCCAGCTGTGAGCGGGAGAGATACAGGAGTCGGTTCTCGAAGGCGCAAGGCAACGGCTTCCATCAGCCAAACCTGGGGCGGGCGCTTTCCAGCAGAAAGCGCGCGTAACGGGCTACGCCTTTAAGGCATTTCGACTGCCCGGATTTTCTGGCCCTCGCCGCTGCCCGTCGCCCCGCCCCTGACGCATCCCCGCCCCTCGCGCACGCGCGCTGCCTAATCACCAACTCACTCTTTTCAAATGGGCAATGGTGTTTTCCAGTAAGAAGGGCCAATGGCCTCTAATAGCAATCCACTTTGCTTCCTCTAAGAAGAATTTAGTAACCTTGGATTAGCCTCTATTATTGATGTCTCCAATTCAGTATCTAATACTCGTATATACAGAATAGCATCAAAGGGAATACATTTACTCTGTGGCTCCTCGTACTGTTCTAATATCCACGTTATAGCACTTTATTGACAAAATAATACCACACTTCAGAGTCCCAGTACTAATAAAACATAAACATAGTGGCTCCTTCTTATGAGTCTATTGTCCACATACTGGCCCCTAATTCAATTATAGTATTCTCATGATGGCCTTTTAGTAAGTATATATTATTTATTCTGTGGCCTGTAGTATCCACAATGTGGACTTCTCAGACTAATATAAAATCTATATAGCAGCATTTGTTTTCTTGAGACAGCATCTCATGATGTAGTCTAGGTGC